ATCTCGTGATAGATTTTCATCTGTCCTAGTTAATCTTGCAAGCGTTTAGTCGTTTATGATTGCCATTCCTCTTAAAGCTTAAGGCTTAAAGGATTAGATGCTTGAATTAAGTTAAGTATGAATAAATTTATTTATGGAAACACCTAAGCGAAGCATTGTATCTCTGTTTTTACGCTGGCATTTGTTCTTAAATCACTTTTGCATTCATGCGCACCGAGGCCAGTAAAACACTCAATTTTATTCGTCAGGACTGCTATAAATACTGCATTTAATGAATATTGTGTGAACTAAGCACTTTTTTCATATGAAATATATTATATATGATATAATCTACCAAAAGACGAAATAAATATTTCCGACGGAAGGGCTCATGATCCTGATGCAATAATGCCCTCACACCTTCAATATCACTACTTAGTGGATTGCATGACGATCTCAACTCAGAAAGATTTGACCTTAATTAGAATAAATATGTTATTAGGCTTTCCTCTACAGAATTGCTGAACATTAAATTTATATTTGCAGCCTTTTAATTGTTTTCCAACATTGGGGAAAATTTATTAAATTATAAGGTTTATACAAAAGTCATGACGTACAAATTTGATTTGATTTTGAAGGAACTTGGATATTTTTCTACCATAAGAAAATATAAGTATTTCTGATTTCTAAATACTCAAACATTTCTGCATTTAAATAGACCAATGTCGGTCTCTACATCTATGGTAATTGATGCTTTTTAGACTACAGATCTTATGTTTTTGTCCCCTGTATAGGTAACACGAAATCTACTCTTACTTGAAAAATCTTAATAAATTTTTGTTTTTCAATTACATATTAAATATTTTTGATGATTTTATGTTTTTTTCACCTTCGCCTCAAGTGGAGTATTTTGGGTGCACATGTGGTCCAGTCAGTACTTCAGATAAAGTAATTCGGTTAAGCACCAAAGCAAGATTTAATTATCTCTACAATCATTTCGTATTTTACGAATTTTCGCATGTATTCAAATAAGCTTATTAGATAAGTTTATAATTGTACGGTGAATTAGATATTTGATGAGAGGGCAAGAAGCTCTCATTTATGGTACAAATTATCTCGATTGTGGATTAAATAGCATGTCTCCACCGCCACGAAATCTGTTTAATCTAGAATGATAGAGGATTATGTATTAATTAGCTGCAGAGAAGCTTTAGCCAACTAAATTATTAACTGATCAAATGACAATGCTTTTAATATTGATGCATCTTCGATGCTCAATTAACGAGCATTTTTATAGCATTTACAAACATTCTTTATTGATCTGGCTGGACTTTGGTGTTATGGTATTATTTTGAAAGGTTAATCGAGGAAATGAGATAAATTTCTACGATTATGAGTAGACTCTTTTCCTTTGACTTCTGCACTTTCAACTTTTATCCTCTGCAGTGTTTTTTAATTAAGTTAAATCAATCTCCGCTCTTTGCTGACAATGTCTTAGCATCCATTTCTAATTTCTGCTTTCTCTTATAACTTCCTTGCTTCAGAATTATTTCCTTTTTTGATTAGCATAACTTTTATCATTTCTTTCAATAATTTACACAGTATATACTTTCTTTATCATGTCTTAGTAATCCGACTGCTTCTAACCTAATTTAGATAAAGCATATCTCTCATATTCATTTTACACCGTTTTCTTTTGCTTCCTATTTACTTGTTTTTTAAAGATAACTTGCAAAACTTACAATGATAATAATAAGCATATATCAGATCTGATTGCTGGATTTGCTTGTTCATGTACTTTCAGAAATTATGATTAGTATTATTTATACTAAAGTTGATTCTTATTAACATAAAACTTTATATTTTTTTATGCGCCTTTTCCTTTAGCGGGAAAGCTTTACTATCATTTAAATCCAGTTGGCTTGACCATAGTTCAAAATGTAACACAGGCTGTATCTTGGCTTTGCTTAGTGCCAAATTACTCAGTCGCTTATGTAGGATTTATGGAAGTTATCATACTTGATCCTCATATGTGCTGCATCTTTTATTCCATCCCTTATATTTACTTTTCCTTGTGATTACTTCCTCATCTTCTTTACCATTTTATTCCTAATTTCTTTCTGGCTAGTACCTCGTCGCAGCTTGCACGTGATCTGGCTTGCATTATCACATCGATCACTAACCCAGAGAGCATTAATCTTCTGAATCCAAGTATGACAACTTCGGAGCCTGTCAGATCGAGCCCTAATTCATCCAGCTCCTCTGCTTCTGCACGCAAAACCTCACCGCTTGCTTCCACTGCCCCATCTGCTGGTGCCGATTCAGAAAGCTTGCGTGGTGCTGGTTTACCTTCTCGCAAGTTTGACGGCCTTCCTCAATCTCCGCTGCCCCCACTTCCGCCGCCAAACACCTTAGCATCGGCTGGTGCTAATCTAAAAACCGGATCATCTCCTGGAGGTCTAGCTGGCCTCCTCAGTCGCCTTACTAGTTCTGCAATAGGGTCTTCTGTCACATCAACTTCTGTAGCCTCTCTCAATTGGCAAAAAATTGACAAACAGAGAGTAGCTGAATTGGATCAAGTTGAAGGCGACAATCAGGAGGGCGAAGAAAATATTGTGGAGGAAAGTAAATGTAGTGGAGAGGATCTAGCAGTTTCCGAATTAAAAACAAATGGAGAGGAAGGAGGAGAGGCAGAACATTCATTGAGTAGGTTATGTTTTTGCAGCAAACTTTGTATATATGCGAGCATCTTTCGTCCCACAAGCTACCCTACTAATTATTGAGCAATAGATGGCATTCATTCAGTCAGTCAGATGAGCTTCCTTATTCTGCAGAAAATCTGTAAACAACGACGTTCTAGCTTCAAAATTTCTTGAAATTTCATTCTGAAATAACTTTAAGGTTCGGTCTTGTTATTTTAATTTATCATCACAGATACAAATTGAATTCTTTTTGGCACCACTGCTAATATTTCTGCGTAATCCAAGTAAAAATGTTCTTTACCACTTTCCTACATGAGGGTTCCTTCAGGTTCTACCTTAATGATTTTAGCTTACTGTCTAGCCTTCCTTTCCCTAGATCATGTATAAATCGCTTTTTAAATGGATTATATATCGACTTTTGGAGTTTATAGGGCTACGAAAATCTGTCAGAAATTTTTATTTTCATCCTTGCCAGGTGAAGTATCAGTTCCTAATCCATTAGATCACCATACGTTTATCAGGCATTTCTGTTTTCTTACTCTTAGTCATAAATGAATTCGCAAGCATGCGATATTAAGTAGATGACGGTTTCCACTAAAATGTTAAACTCATAATTTAAACCTTCTGGCTATACAATTGCACATAGATTCCTTTAATGAAAAATGTTATTCAATAATAAAGTTTCACAGGTGATAGTTTTGCCACGATTTTCTACAAAATCTAAGGATTGATGTAACAGTGCAGATTCTTATTGTTTTCCTTCAGTAGATTAACCTAGGTTATCATTTTGCAACTAATGGTGATAAATCTCGATCTGTGTCAAAGCTAGAATGTCGGAATTGTATTAGAGCTTACGAGCAGCTGGCCTTGATCAATTGCGATTTCGCGTTCTTTGGAAGGTATCTATATTGCTTGCAAAATTTATACCCAAATAGATGCAATAAAATGGTACATTTCAAGATTTCCTTTCAGCATATTAGCAGATCAATGAATAAATATTTTTTGTATATTTCATTTTTTTTAGTTTGTTTCACGAACTATTAAAAAAACTCTAGTATGTGCTTTTTTTGTGTGCAATGAGAGAAATTCCCCATTCTTGCTATTCGATTAGGAAAGCCAATGGCCAATCAGTCACAAAATCGAAGGTTTAGTTCGGCAAAGGTCGCCATTCAGGAACATGTCGTCGATCTTC